CCATTCTCTCACAGGTTACAAAGTTGTACCATCCGCTTGCGCTGAGGTACTTCCTGTTGGGGACCCACTACCGTTCCCCGGTCAATTATTCAATATCACAGATTGAAATTGCATCGGATTCGGTTTTCTACTTGTATCAGGTGTGAAACATTTTAAGCATGTGTTTAAATAAGCTTCGTTTGGTAGGACGAACTTATTTAAAAAGCTCGATCTTATCTCATAAGCTTTTTTGGGTAGCTTTTTATTTCAGCTTGATAACAGCTAACTTATCAGCTAATTTTACCACTCACTTTTATCATATAAGCTAGCTTTTCAGCTATTAGTCATAAACTATAAGTTATAAGTTCGAAAATTACTGATAAGCTATATATGCTAGCTTATTAGCTATCAACTAGCTTATCAACTAATTTACCAAACATAACCTAAGTGATCGCTTGGAGTGTATTGAATTTTATAAGCTCCTTCATTATTCATAAATAAGAAATCTTCTTGTGTCTCGAAAAGTTAACAAAACATTTCTCTTACATAAGCAAAGGGAAGCGGAGTATTGTAATCGGTTAAACTCTTTTGTGGCTAATTGTTACAAGTATGCAGACTTTGCAAGACTCTGAAGATGCTTTGTCGGAATCAAAAGAAGAGATGATGGAAACAAATGCAAAACCTGCACGTATGGGCTCTGATGCACAAGAGTTCATCAACAAGCTGCGGAAAGAGTTTGAGGCGAAACTGGCGGATGATTTGCACACACCCACCATTCTGACTTCTTCTCTTCAAGAAGCCTTGAGATTTATAAATACTTACCTAACCAAGCTGAAGGTGTGTTTTTTTTAATTCACTTAACTTTTTTTCTGTTTGTGAACATGTGCATATTCTATGGTTTTTCTAATTATTATTATTTTTATTATTATCCAGAAAAAGCTGCCAAAGCAACAAAAATTATCTTTTCTTAAGGGCCTCGAGGAGCTCCAGAAGGAAGTCAAACAAGTCCTAGATGTTCTTGGCTTGCTTTCTAGTTTAAGTTATGCTGAGGTATTTTTTAACCCATTTTTCACATTGTTAGACTAACTAGAAACAGCTTCTGTGGTTTAGTTTGGTACAATAATTATTTT